CCGGCTTCAACCCCGGTTATTCTGACTGGGGTTTCTGTTGTAGTTTTGTGCCTCGAACAGGTCACGACTGTTTTCTTCCAATTTTTTTCCAATTTATGATACAACAATCACTTATTTACTCCATGCCATGTACTGGACATGCTGACAGCGTTGTAAAGTAAGCAACAAAAAATAATAATTTTAATGGAACATTGATGAGATGCTTGTTCGTGTAATACAAGAAATGTTTGCCTAATTGAATTTTGTGAAATTGAAATAAGTACTGGCCTGATTAAAGACGTCACGTCCCACAGGTTGGGATTTCAGAGCATGAGAAAACAGAACAAACTGTTTACTGTCTTCTATTTATGCCACTAGAATATCTTGCGACAAAATTACGTTTATGGAATGAATTGCGTTACAAGACTATAGACTCGTAGGATGTGGCGCCTTGTAATTTGGTAGGCTGTTGTCAAAGTTACAGAGGAACGTGCTGCCTTTGCCTTCAGGGTAAAAGTGCAACTTTCCGTGGGACCTCCTGCCTCCATTCTCAAAGTAGAATTTACACTGAGGAAGGAAACAGAAGAAGAGCCATATATTCTGTGATATAATGCCCTGTAGTCTGATGAAAGCCAACCGACGTTTCGGAGGAACATATGATCTGCACTTTCAGGGTCGAAGAATAAGTTTTTTTATCATCTCCTTTATTGACAATCAGATACTACAATCTCTCAGTCAATTTGCTGTCTTGTGTACAATTAGTTACGGTTTGTACACTTCACTGGCTTGAGAGGGCCACTTGCACCGACGCGTCCCTCAGATTTTTAGATCTTCTGGCCACTTTCGCCCGATTCTTCTGTGGTCATGTTGCAGTAAAAGTGGCTGGAGCAGTGGGTTGGGTTGGTTTGCTAATTTGCTAAAGTGTTTGATGCAGTGTTCTTTGATGACTTCTGTGACGTACGGAACTTTGAGGTTTGTGTGAATGGTGTGGTTAGACACGTACCGCGGTGCGTTTACGATGAGGCGGAGAATTTTTGATTGGGTTCGTTGGATGAGATCTATGTTTGTTTTGCTGGCGCATCCCCAGAGTTGGATCCCGTATGTCCATATTGGTTTGATGACTGCTTTGTATATTAGCAGCTTGTTGTCAATGGATATGTGTGATTTTTTTCCCTATGAGCCAGTATAGGTCTTTGATTTTTTGATCCATTTGTTTCCTTTTCGTGAGGATATGTTGTTTCCAGTTGAGCTTGCTGTCGAAGGTAAGTCCGAGATACTTTGCTTGATCTTTTTGTTGG